CCAATCAGTTATTTTAATTTAAGGATGAAATAAAATCATTCCATATATGTAAACTATTTCAATATTGGTTAACTGTGGCCTCAATTAAATTAATTCAGACTACATCTACGCCTACTAAGCCATTTTAAGTTAATTATGGATTTTTGTGGGTAAATATCATTTCTTTTCCTCGTACTGTTATTTACCAGAAAAACGGAAAGAGAGAGGGAGAGGGAACGAAGAAGAGAGAAAGAGAGAGAAACAAAATAATGTGTTAAGGACAGCGGAATCAGTCTAGGAATTTTTGAAAATTTCAAATATATAGTAATGATTGGTTTATTGTGTATGCTTCTTTGAGCAGTATGCACTTCTTAAATCGAAAAATCACAAACTGATCAAATTTAAATGCAGATTCAAAATTTAAGCATCTAAATTTGAATTGTAAATTTTACAAAGAACAAAGAATAATTTTTTCATATACAAATGGAATTATGTTTCTATTTTCACAGCATAAAGAAAAAGGAGCAAATTTGAGTAAATATAAGAAACTGATTAAACAAATTTTATTCCGATCACTACATAGAAAATATTTATCGCCAATTTAATTCAGAAATAAAATTTTAAGTTGCAGTAGAAGACTTAATAGATTTTTTTTTTTAAAAAAACAGATTATATTCGAAATCAATTAATGGTTTATTTTAAAGAAATCCAATTTAATTTGCTTGTTTAAACAAAGCAGTTTTAATAGCAAAAACGTTTATCCATTCCTCTGACATTTTGAAAACATAAAATGTAATAATTTAATGAAGGGAAGAAATAATAATACATCGAAGTAAGCTTTCTGTTATGACTAATAGGAAAGCAAATGACCATTAGGTCGTACTTCATGCTTTTATAGCAATTACAAATATGTCTTATGTTGCAAATTTTTGCATAACACGCAATTTGCATCACATGCAAAGATTTATTATTATTATTATTATTATTATCAATATTATTACTAATTATTGTTAATAATTATTAGTTATTCATTATTATTACAGCTAGTCATACTGTAGGAATATCAAGTATCGCTACTATAAAAATGTTTTTTTTTTAAATTTATAGCAATGCATATGCAATTATGGTTTTAGCTGGTTTTATGTTCAAGTTGGGAGCTGGTCTCAACAAGTCTTTAAAATTTTTTTTTTTAATCGTCTCAGTAAGTCCTTAATTTTTTTGGTTTTGAATTATTAATTTTCTCTTCTTTAATAGACATTTTCTTTTTTTGTTCTTTTATTTGTATATTTTAGAATGATTTTAAATCATCCGTTTGTCTTAAAAGCTTTATTTTACTATCTGAAATTAATATATTATAGTATGGTAAATTTATAGCTTTAGCCATAATATTGTCTCATGGCCATACTTCTGCTTTAATATTTTATTTTATTGGTAATTTTAGCATATTGCGAGATGTTTGATTTAATATTTGTGCGGGTGTTTTAATGTTAGTATATTGTTTCGTTTGATTTTTGTTTGACTTTTTGGAAAGGGATGGATTTTATATATAGCATTATTACTGTGAAATTTTGTTGAGATTTTTTAAATTTGTTCGTTTTATGAATTTGAAGTAACAGTAAGATTACCGCTTCTTGCTACAGTAGGGAGAAATTTTTTGTTGGGATCCAGGGAGAAAGGAATAAATGATACGAACCGAAATCAGAAGGATGAAACGGAAATAGGTGAATTTTAGGATTGTAATGATTCAAATTCTAAAGCAAACTTTTCAATCTGAACTGTCAAAAAATTACATTTTGGAAGAAATACGTTCATATGGTATCCTTTTCAAAGAGAATTCAATAAGTTTCACGTCAAAAAAATATCAAAATTTGTGATATCATAAAACCAGAACCTAATTTTTTTTTAAACCAGAATTTTGCTTTCTTTAGCAATTATAAGCGTGAAAATGTGAGTTATATAGCAAATAAGATTATGATAAGACTATTCCAGCGAATTATTAACGTAATTACTTACATGTTCATTAATCTTGATTAAATTTCAATAATAAATCTTTATTAACGACAGATTCCGATTAACAATAAGTGTTATGACAATAAGATTAACAATAAGTGCAATAAATCCGGAAGAAAATAAATCTTAATTAATGATAAATCTTAGTTGTCATCATACGGATGGAAATTTCTATGAATTGATTACTTTCACATCAGGGAAATTTCACTTTTTTTTTTAATCCTTAATTTACACTTAAAATAGGCGTAAGGAAATTTAAGTTTAAAACAGAAAATGGATAAAATAATTTTGCTACATTTGTAGTACTGGAAGCCATGAATTTATCAAATAAATTATTTCAAGGACCATTTATGATTTTATCATTTTCCATACTTAACTATTCTTTAAAATAGTTTCATTCATTCCAGACTTGGATACACATTTTGCACCCATTTTATCAAATATATATTTAGATAGATGTTATATGAATTGTTCTGCCTTGATTTACTCACTTTTTTTGACACATATATTCCACGTATTTATTTAAGCGTACGCTTAACGATTAGATTACTTTAGATATAAATTCTATTCGTTTTCTTGGCAATACATTCATCATTTCAATTTTTATTCGCTTTCTGTTAAAATGTTAACAAAATCCTTACATTTTTTTTTTTTTTTTCATTTTTTGAAAAGTTCATTACACTGAAGATAAGTGAGTACGGATGGGTTGATGGAATGGCTCAAAATGTAAAAGTGAAGTGGAGTGGAATGGCGTAAAGTACGAGTGACTATATAGTATCAGGTTTAGTTTAGTTGTCTGCTTAAGAGTTGACAAAGTGATTGACAAAGAAAAAACATGCAAGTGGCAAAATCCTGTGGAAAAAAGAGGAAAAGAAGAAAGAACTAATACGACATCTGCTACCTTTCATATGACATTGGATATTTCTCTTCTTTATCTTTCTTCTATTCCTTTTCTTCCCAAATGTTCGTATTCTCTTCCTGCTACTTTTTATTGTATGTTGACTAACTTTTATGTATCATTTCATTGACTTTCCATCACATTTCCCTTTTTTTTTCTTTCGTTCTTTTCTTGTTTTTTCGTATTATTAATGGTAGAAGAATGAAATCGGAAGATCAATGATATAGTGATAGGATAAAATGAAAGAACAGTTAACGTAAACGAATAAGCTTCTATTTGAATTACTATAAGAACCCAAACAATGGGAAAAACATGAATTAATGATGTAGGATGATCCGCTTTTAGTATTAATGAGATATCGCATGAAGGAAAGAGAATTAGCTGTGTTCGGACGATACTTAATACACATATCTTCTAAAGGCTCTTTTACTCAGAAATGTTACAATGAAGTGGGAAATATGAACCGATCGTTGAAATTGAAAACTGAAGATGAAATTAATTCTTTGCCAAGTCATATTTGTCTTTCTCCCTCTCTTCGACTGAGTTCGAGATTAATTGGGAAATTTTACTAACCTAGAGTCATTAAACCTTACTTAAAAATATGAAAATATCAATGAGTAAAAGATATTCCCTTTAGTGATAAAGGGACATGAATGTGACAGTCATATCGGACATATATTTTACTTTGATCATCTCACTTTCCCTTTCTTATCTCCAATCTGCCACATACAGAATAATGCTTATGCAAGTGTATCTTTTGTTACGATGAATTATATCCACTCAGATGAGTGGAAAGGATAACAAGCAAATGATCGAGAAAGGAAGACAGAGGGCGAGAGAGAGAGAAAGAGAGATGAGTCATGAAACTAAAAGATGGTTGAGATCCAAATGGAATGGTAGCTGAGACACTGCTCTTTTTCGAGGGACATAGAAACAGAGAGCAAGCGTATGCTGTCCTCGATGAGACAAGACGACTAGGCGCAATCGTGCTCACCCTCTTCTCCTACCCTTGCTACTAACTACTGTTCGTGTGCGCCATTGACTGGCCTCCTTCGGCTATTGATTCGGCTGGCCACTTTCATCATTTGTATATATGTATCAATCTCTTTATCTAATTCTGAATCCTTCTCTGTCTATTTTATCCATCTCCTAAGTTCATGGATGGAAAAGATAAAACTGAATGACTTATTACATGTTCACGGTAACCGATACCTTTTGTTATGTTGCAGGAGGTAGTAGATAGTTGTTTGTAGTTTTGTGTTATATCACATTGACCACCATTATGGACCACTGACTTTTACATAGGATTTGTCATACGAAGAGTACATCCGTCACTAGGTTTAGTTAACTTTCAACATTATTCAAAGATATGCATTGAGGAAATCTTTACATTATGATTCGTTTTTCACTAAAAAATTTTTTTTTAATCTATGTAGATTTCGTTGTATCGTACGTGAGTTAAAATTGAAAAGATATTTTTTATAATTTGTAATGAATTAATATGTATTTTCGAGGATACATGTAAACATAGCTCTACGTTTTTTAAATAAATGAACTAGTTAAATAACCAAGTAGGCTTTACATGTGGAATGTGTAAATAATAAATCATTTAATACAGCTAAATAATTCTTCATGTAATTTAGCTGGTAATAGCTGATAATAAGGAATATTTAAGGAATGATGGGCTAGTTGAAAACAGGTTATAGTAATAATTGATTGATAATCAGATTGTTTCTTTTTTCCTTTCTTCTAACGAATGCATATGCATGTATAGAAAATTTCACGTGTGTCCATATGGTGAGGAAATTTTCACTTTCAGTTATAGTTTCTAGCATGTTTGTTCAGATGTTTCTGAACTTTAATCGGAACAATGCTACAATTCTCATATTTTCACTCGAAAAAGTTTGTTGTGCTTAAAGGTGCTTCAAGTCTTTCCAAATTTATGTAATATATTGGCATAATTGATCTTTTCACTACAAATAACAGGCTAATTATTAAATCTTATAGTATAAATGTGTTACGATTTAAAACTCTACTTTTGACTACTTCATATCATGCAGTAAACATTGTATTGTAGAGTGGTAACGTTTGATGGGCAATATTTTATTCGATAATGGCTACATCCACTACGGCAAGTTGGGCCGATTTATGGGTAAAAAATATTTTTTGTAAAATTAAAAAATATTTAAAAGAAAGCAAAGCAACAAAAAAGAAATAGTGAAGTTTTGACCAGTTAATAAAAAACTGCTTAATTAGGATCAGATAGACATTTTGGCTTCTCATACGCAAAAGGGTATTGAAAGTTTGGAGAAATATGGAATGTTTCTGAAAGAAAGAGCAGCGATTGAAGATGAATACGCGGCCAGATTAAGGTTCTTTTTTTTTTTTTTTTAATTGGTGTTTATTTAAATGTCTTTTTTCCATCTTTATTTGTTTCAAACAGCTATCTCATCATCTCATCTTTATAGCATATTTCTGTCCTCTACGTAGCATCTCAAATCTGAAAATGTTGTTCTTGCAGAGCTTTGGTAAAAAAGAATTTGGGGAAGAAAAGAGAAGATGAAGAGTTAACCAAAGCTTATACATTTATCAGTTCGTTTCATTCCATTCTGCATGAAGTTGAAAGTCTTGCCGGTCAACACGAGGTTATTTCGATATCAAGATTTCTGCGTAAATAAGATTATTTCGTTCACTGATTATAGTTGTATCTTGTTTTTTCTCTGTAAATTGGTCAATTTCATATGAATATTGCATAAAATTGGTTATACTTTGAAAGAAAATTAAAAATTCTTGTTCTTCAATTTTTGCATTTGTACTAATCTTAGGGTCGACTGTCGATAATTGCAGGTTATTGCGGAAGGTCTGCGGAAGGATATTCACCCGGCCTTATTAACAAAGTGTGCTGCACTTCGCGCAGCTCGCAAAAATCATCTAAATGAGCTGCATATTATTAATGGTGTCCTTAATGCTTCCATTGATAATATGTTCAAATTTCAAAAGAATTATTGGTACATTCTTTGTTTTTCCCTGGTAATAAGTTAAACGAAATAACTTGGTGATAATTAGTCATTTTGGAAGTTTAACTGCTGCTGCAAACTCATTAATATTGAATAGTCTTCTCCTTATCCTGTGTTTAATATAGTTTTCTTTCTTCATTAGATGAGGATTATAATTATTGAGGTTATCGGATAATATTAATGGGGAGAGTATTAATTGAGAAGTCATAAGAAAAATTTGGAGAAATTAAGTATTAGTTTGGCTTATATTTGAAAATTTTATGCTTGAGTATGGCTTGCTGTATTTGAAAATTTTGGTTTTATAGCAAGACATTCAAAGATGCTGAAGTGGCTCATTTAAAGTACGATAAGGCTGAAAAGAATATGGACCTTTCACGGGCAGACCTGGAAAGAGCCAAAAATAACGCGATGCAAAGGACACAAATATGTGAAGATGCGAAACAAAATTATGCACACGCATTGCAGGCTGCCAATCAACAGCAGCATCAACACTACAGTCAACTGTTACCACAGATACTGGAGGTTTATAATCGTTTTTAATATCTCCAATGTTTTTTCATTTTTATTGTAGCTATTTTACAATTAAGCTTGTTTTTCTACTCATGCATCAAGCACTTTTAACCTTTTTTTTCCAAAGAAGGTGAGAAGTTAAGGTTGTTTTAAATTAATCCTCACCATCGATACACTATTGTCTTTTTAATTATTTAAATATAAAAAGTTTCAATTAAGAAACATTCTTGTTAAAAATCTGTTTTATCTTGACTTTTTTTTGCGAGAATTTGTATTTCGATATAAGATAAATGCATGCGATAAATGATTGTATGGAAATTACAGCGTTTGAGAACAGTCGATGAGGAGCGAATAAGCGAAACTAAATCATTGATGTTGCAAAGTATTGAAGCGGAGACTAAGGTGATGAATATAATCCAACGATGCTACGATGATATGAAAAAAGCTGCTCAGTTAATATCGCCTTTGAACGATAGTGCTAGTGTTGTTGAGCATTACAGGTTCATTTTTTTTGAATTTTATATTGGTTGAACAATTATGTATTCAAAGGAAGATATGAAGTTGTGAAGATTTATATCATTATTATTTAATATTACATAAGTCAGGTGGCATTGTTAATGTTTATTTATTCAGTCACTTAGTTTTAGCCTCTTCTGATCTGTCATTAAAATTTGCTGTCATTTGTTATTTAAAAATGAGTCGTTGTAAGAGATACCGTTTGTTTAAATCGTGTTGTTTGTTGCAGATCGGGCTATGCACATCCTCAGCCGTTCACTTTCGAAGATTTCGGATCTCCGTCAGCAATTATTACCAGTGAAGGTACAAGTAGTGTGGAGACAATGAAACGGCCAACAAAAAATGGTTCGATGGTACGAATCAATCGAAAACCTAGTATGGGACTTTTTCGAGGCAATAATCATTCAAGAAAGGTTGTTTTAATTCTATTTTAGTATTCGACACGACTGTTTAAATCAATGATTAATTGCCTTTGGAGTATAAATTGGGTAGATTATAAAAGTAATATTTAGGTGAGATTGATCCATATCGAGTGGCCTGACGAAGTAATCTCATAATTCGCTAGATTCAGGAAGAGTGCTTATTAGATCATCTCTTTCAAAGATATGAAAACATAGCCAGTCGTCAGTTAAGTTTTCATAGCGGAAGCACACACTAAATTCGCAATAAATCCACAATACTGGTTTTGCTAATAAAGACGGTCGTATAGGCAACAAAATCAGGTTTTCACTATAACTTAATGTTGTCATCTTGCAACATTTGTTTTAAACATTGTTTTCATCAGTAAGTGGATTTCAATTTAGGATGGTACCATTGACTTTCGTTCTTATCCACCACAGCAAAGGTGTCGAAGACTGCAACATGAAATTGAAAATATTGAAAAAGAAATCGCGAAAAATCAACAGAGTCGTGAAGGTGCTGCGAAAATGTTGCAAGTTTATAAGTAAGTGGTTAATGGACTATTTGGTTATAATTTATTGCTTATTAAATTTAAGTTAAAAACTACTTTATCAAGCGTACGTGGTGATCAAAATTACCTATTGATCATTGGTTTTATCTTCCATCTCTATTGTCTTTTTTTTTTCCTCACTTTTTCAACTTAAATATGTAGCTGATTTACAGAGACAATCCAAAATTAGGTAATGCAAGTGATGTGGATTCAGAAATTATAGTTTATACGAAGAAATGTGAAGTTCTAAACCAACAACTAGCAAAGTATAAAGTATGTTCCCCTTTTATGATTTCTTTTTTTCATTTGTCAGGTTTTTTTAATCCGATTTGATAACACAGTTCAGTTCCATTTTATACAGAATTTAATTGAACCTATTTTTTGCTCATGTTAATGTCCAGTACAGAGGAGTAAAATCTCTGTGTATGATCAAAAGGACATTAGTACTTGTAAGGAATATGTGTAATTAGTGTGTTCGTTTCAGGCAATGTTGTCAGAAGCGCAAACCGAACTGAATATACCGATATCAGTTATCGGGTACGTTCATAGTCCACTCTTGATGTTAGCTATCGTTCACGATTATAGAAAGGCCATTAAACGATCCTTTTCTTAACATGATATTTCATCAACTAAACATTCACTGAGAACCATGATATAGTTTAAAATGTTGAACATTATTTTATGATTTTCGCAGCACATTCTAGGTCACTAGAAAGTTCTTTGTTTTGCCAACAGAAGAAAGTAAAGTGTGCGAAGGATTCTGAAGCTATATGTGTCCGTTCCTTATACATGTTTAGAGGACTCGGAAACATATATATATATATCAGTAATTGCCTTTAATCATCTTTAAGGTTCCTTATTCATTATTTACAGATCAGAACCTCCAACGAGACCACCTCCTCCGTGTCAGTCAGGATTGAGTACGCCTTCACAGTCCTCTCCACGTCAAATAGCAACCCCGAATACTACAATTAATATTCATCGTTCATCTTATTCAGAAGAGTCGATTTCGTCTGATGGTTCAATTCCTATCACTGGTCATCAGAAAGCAACTTCACCCGAACCCACAAAAAGTTTGCTTCATTTCACTTTGTTTTTCAAACCTAATGAAGGCAGTACAGTTCAGTTCTTAATTGTTATACTAGTGTCCTGGACTTTATAACTAATATTTCCTAGCTTGAACAAATTTCTTAATCTTTTAATCCTGTGATTGGGAATTGATTAGTTGGTCAATAATTGTTTTGTTTTTTCAAGAAAAGCTCTTTATTGGGCGCATTACAGTATATGAAGGAGGGAATGAAATTTAAGTTTTTAAAATGCGCTTTAGTCCAACAATATTGTACTCATTTCGCCGATCACATCATGCGGTGAAAGTGTAAAATGATGATATTGGGATAAGACAAGTTTGAGTAATAATTGTGTTAGTTTAAATTTTGATGATTAATTGGTAATTTAGAAGCAACAATAGTGGAAAAATCAGAAGTGTACGAAGAATGCGACATGCCGGCGTTAGGCACTTGCACTGCATTATATGCATTTGAAGGTGGCAGTGAGGGAACAATGGCCATGGAAGAAGGCGATGAAATGATATTGTTAGAGCGAGATGAAGGAGATGGTTGGACTCGAGTTAGGCATGTTTCGTCGGCGCGTGAGGGTTTCGTCCCTACATCTTACTTGCACTGTAGGTGGTATCCTGATTAGGAACCTCATTAAGATGGGAAAGCACTGTTATTTTTTTGTTCGATGTGGAATTGAACGACCTTAGATCATTTATTATTTCGAAATAAATAAATGAATTGTAGGTCGGTTTTGCTGTTTTGCTTGGTATAATAAAATAAGGGGTTTTTTTTTGTCTTAATTTGATGTTGTCTTAGGTTGGTGCTGTTAACTGAATAATACTGACTTTTCTGTATTTATCTCTTTGAGCATAGTTCAAAGTGTATTATATACGAAACCATCCCGGTACTTTTAGATCAGGTTGGTACGAACAGATCATTGAGTTACGATAGTATTTCTTGAAATGACCATGTTTACCTAGTAACGTTCTAAGACAAAGCTCCAAGTTGTTAACATTGCTTTTTCAGTTGGCTTAAATGTTTATCATGTGCATATTTTTTTATTTCATAAATTGAAATGCTCAATATTTGAATTTCTGGATTTCACATATTTGGTCCTTAATAGCATTTTATGCGCGTTATCATTAAGCAGGAAGGATCTTATTTTACACTATAAATTTCGCTGTTTTATCTGGTTCGGTTTACATGTTTGTCTCGAAACCATATACTGTTGTTAGTCTGCAAGTGGAGTTCGGGTCATTCCACGTTTAATTATTGCATAAATTGATGAAATTGTTGAGGTATCGCTTCCTCTATAAGCGCTTTTTTATAGTTTTATGACCGTGAATGTGTTTTCCTTTTTGGCTCAATAATTATTAATAATTCCGCTACAAACTACTACTGTTGATAGTTGCTACTCCTGTGCTTATTTTAAACCATTTGCTTTTTGCTGCCTAGTTTAGTCCAACTGAAAATGTTGTTCACATTGGGAGAGCTTACTGGTATGTGTCAATAGACTTGCCCTCTCTTCCATTACATCCATAATGTTTAGTTGTTGCTTTATTTTGCCTTCAAAAAGTTCTTTATATTTCTTTGTGAATATTGGAAATCCCCGAAAAGTAATCAGACGGGTTAAGAAAAAGATCCAAATAAGCATGGAAATTATCCTTCTATTAGCATATTCCAATCAGGTAGATCATTCTTTTACAACTAAGGCAAAGTTCGGTAAAATGATCTAACAAATTGGAGTTTAAAAAATTTTTTTAAGATTTCCGAACTCCTAAGAGGTTTCACTGTTCCCTGAACATACACCATTCAATTACACTGAACAAACCAAGACACTACACCCATGGTATCGTATCTGGCGTCGGTATGAATCCTCCAATTTAGCATATAATTGCGAGTTTCCTATTAGGAGTGTTTTTAAGGTTCTTTTGTATTTGATTTATAGAGCGACGTCACCTCCCCACACACTAATTTTGTAAATGATGCTTCCAATCTAGTTTTCTGATCTTTCACTTTGTATTTTTCTTTTTATAGCAATACTTCCTGCCTCCGCATTACTCAAATCCCCCAGTGTTTTCTGCCCGAACTTTTTTATTTAGCAATCACTGCATTTTCTATGAATGTGAGGGTTAATGGGCTTGTGCATTACTTTCGTGCTCTAATACTTGCAAAAAGAGATTAAAACCGAGTGGGGTCTCAAAAAAATACATTCTGCTCAGCCATAGGTTGGTCCAACACGCAAGTAAAGAGCAGCATCTCCCACAGATATTCTAGCCACTCGATCGAAATACTCAATAACTGTTGCTGATTTTTTTTTGCAACTTCGTAATGTGAATAAATTATTAACAGTGATCACAGAAAAGAAAAGTGAGTGCGGTAAAGAAATTCAAATCTCCGCTTCTAATGCAACTCGCTCAAAAGCTTTCTCACGAGCAATGTAGTCAAGAGTCCACTGATGATTTGGGAAGCCTTCCTTTAACTGATTGATATACCGGTTCGTAACCTGAAATACAACTTCGTTTATCTATAACAGGTCTCCGGAATAGAACCTTATTTCAACAGGACTGCTTACTTCTGGTGCTTTTCCGAGATACTGGCTGACAACAACCAAATTTATGACTGCCTCTGCATTGTTAGCATCTCTTTGTAGTGCCTCCTGGAATAATTTCTTTACATGTATCCCAATATTCCTTAGCAAAAGTCCTTTCAGTAGGAGCTAATAAGTCGTCTAAAAAGTTACCGATGCAGAAAGTGTGAAAAGTTCAGGCATACTCCATTTATGTACTAAGCGTGATTTATTACTGCAGCTCTGCTGCAGGAAGAAATTTTAGGAAATCAAATTTAAACTAACTAGAAGTAATTTTTCCGCCTCCTCATATTTTTGTTGTTGAATCAGGCTCGATGACTGAGCAACTAGTAAAAGTGGTGTTGCGCCATATTTATCTATCATCTCTTGATAAGTATAAAATACATCTTTCAATTTGTCTTTCCCCTGGAAAGTATATTTTAGATGTTTGATGAACAGTAAAACATAATTTTCAGAATATCGCACTTATCCATTTCATCTGTCCTATCGAAAAGCCGTCTAATGCAGATTCCATTTTTTTTTTCACATTAACTTTTATATGCAGTATGATTAGTTTGCTTAAATAGCTGAACTCCATTAGGATTTTTACAATTTAACAGAAACTAACAAGCGCGATATTGACCCAAGCAAGCGCAAGCTGAGTTATAGTAGCATCTTCATCTATTTCTTGCATCCTTTTAATTTCTTTCACAGCCAGATCTATCCGATCAATCTTTAGTAAACACTGCACAGCCAACGCTTTACTTTCTAAAGAATCGCACTGACAGAGCAAGCGTAATGCTTCTTCCACATTCTGAAGCTAGAAAAACTTACGTTAAGAAATCAAATGCACAGAATAAGTGATATTGTTAATTTTAAAACTTATACGGTCAGAATCCCTTGGCTGAAAATCCCAATTGTATTTTTGAATATGAATGAAAAAAACTTTCCTGTTCAATTACATCATACTTCAAAGTTCCGGAATAGTCACGAGTTACCACCATAGCAAACAAGCAAAAAATAGGAAAACTAACGGTACCCTCATAAGTAAAGACAAGGAAACATTAAAAAGGAAAAAAAAAAAAAAAAAAAACATACTCGTTCATGAATATACATGTGAGCCGCTAATAATAAAACAGTTTCGTTGTGAGGAATCTCTTCGTTCAGCTCTGTTTCAAATTCTTTCATTATTACTGCTCTAAAAGATGCACGAATAATAAAATGAGAAATAAAAGCATAGGAATTCCTTTCTGACTTTAGAAGGCTATATTAAGATTCTCACACTTATTAAAATATTATAGTGACTTTAGCGATCTTTAGTAAATGATAAATCTTCCAATTATAATATATTTCGTAAAATTCGAGAGTGTATAATTGACTGGGTTCTCAAAGATCCAAAGAATACTATTTAAAGAAGGTTAAAAAGTTATGCTCATCATTCCTTCCTAACTGTAAAATACTACAATAAATGCATATACATATTAAACGTTGAGAAAACTTCATGGATCTTCAATGAAAACGAAATCGATTCCAGTTTACTAATAACCACCACCAGGAACCAAATTATAACTTTTACATCCTCTTTCGTTAAAAAAAAAAAAAAAAAAAACTGTCTATCATTCTTCATCCAAATATTTTACATTCTATTTTAAACACTCTTTCTTCCTTCGGAAATTATTCGTCTTTTATTTACCTTTTATCTGGGTTGGCCAAATAATCTGCAAAACGTCGTACTGCTCTTAGAGAAGGTGAAGTTGAACTTTTTTCAATTTCACTCAGCACTAAATTTGGTTTATTTTGTGCAAGATATGCTCTATACATAAAGACATCCTTCAGCAACTTATCATTTTCGTCTTTCACTTGTAAATTCTGCAAATACGACTAAAAAAAAAAAGAGAAGCAATTGTGTCAGTATGTGCTAAATAAGACACAACTCTTAATTACTGAAGTAAAATTCTCACCATAAATATGCTGAAATTTATTCCACAGTTGTTATGAACTGTAAAACGTATATATACTCACATTTATAAAAACTGCAAAAGCTCACTTGTGCCTCATTAATACAATTTTGGTATGCTCCAAGGTAGAAATTATTACGTACTTCGAATAAATGATCCACATCATCATTAGCTTTAGTCATCGTTTGATGCTGTAAACAATGACTAATTTATATTTTGTGAACTATTTAACTGAACCTACATTGTAATTCCAACAGCGGATGCACTTCCGAACCTAACACATACAGCTCAGTCATGCAGAAACCAGACAATGTCCTCAAAACCAAGCGTGACTAACTGCTCATAACCCGTTGCATACGACCACGTCCGCAATATACAACTATGCAAATTTGAGGATCACGATTGTTATGCTTTCGATATTACACATTCAAATTCAAATTTATTATTTTGTTCATGATTTAACGTTTTTACATTTTAGTTAAGTATGACTTATTGAATTAATCAATAAATTCTTATTTTTTATTGTCTTTACTTACTTTTTTTGTAGCTAAGTTATCTTGAAATTCAACATGAAAAAAATTTTTTTTTAAATTAAAAATTTTGTATCCACTGAAAAATTTCAACTTTTATAATTGGCAACAAATGCATTTTTTTGCCTCATTTTTTGATTTAAATTAAAAATTCCACATAACAATTATTTCAAATTTTACATTTAGGTTTTTAATTTTATTCATATAGTATATGAAATTTTTTACTTAATTAAATTTTTTTCTTATATGATTTGTATTTTTCTTTTTCTTTTTAATTTCTGTAATTTGCATATAAATTAAAATAGTACAAATAGTGACTGGTAATACATTAAATTTCATTTGTATTCATTAACTTATGGTATGACACATTCCACTGGAATCATTGACTTACTTTCTAGCTGTCAAATTAAAGTTAATTGCAAAAATATTCCAGTTTAATATCAATTGCAAAAATCTTTTTTCCTTCTTTTTTTTAAAAAAAAATTCAGATCAATTAAAAATAGGGCAAAATTTTAAATGGAGATCAAATCATTATTAACAAAAAAAAGTAACAAAAATTTTTTTCTTTCAAAAATAGATGAGTGTGAATGAAGAATGTAAAATGATAGGTATTAATTAAAGAAATTATTATTATTGTTTATGTTTTCCTTTTTTTTTTTTTTAATTTATTGAATCCATTGCAATATTATGTTATAGAAATTTTGATGGAATAAAGTTGTAAACTAAAGTGTGAGACAAAAATTGAACGAGGAATATGTTAAAGAAACAAAGAAATTTACAAGTATATTAAAATTATTATATCATTTTTATTAATTTTGGTTTAAAATATAATTAAAAGAAAAAATTATTTGTTTGTTTACCTTTATTTCTATCTAAATGAAATTGAATTGTATTTAATTTTGTTCCTTTTTTCTTGTTATCTCTTTAAAATTTATCATCCATTTGAAATTTGCACTCAAGTTTTATTATTCAAAGCACATATGGAGTTTCGCCCATTCTCATTTTTTTGCACAATTATGAAAGTAATTAGTAATTGAATCAATTATTTTTCAGTTAAAATTTTCTCTTTTTTCTCAATTTTGTTTTTTAAATAATGCAAATACATTTTATGGTTTAATTTTAAGGGAACTACAGAACATAAATATATATATATATATATAACTTGTAATTAATTATTTAATAAATTAATTTCCAGAAAGTTACTAGACCCATATGTCGAGCTAAGATTTGAATATTTAATTAGGAAAATGGTCCTACTAGTTTATATCATATTAAATCATTCCAATGACATATTTCATTAAATGTAATTTAACTTCATATCATGTGAGTTTTTACAGAAGAGAAAACTTAATCATTTGAAATGTGGCAAAAGTAAATTCATTATTATTATTATTATTAGAGATTTTTGATTGAAGGAAGATTGTTGATGAAATAAAGTTTTACTTAAAACAAACATATCAGATGGGTAATTTCTAGTGATTACATTTTTTAAGGATATTTTACAACTGAAACAGTTAAAAAATGACGAAGAAAATGCACATGAGAATGATAATGATAAAGGTAAGAGTAACTATAAGGAGAGACTGGATTCAGTTAAAATAGATGAAGAAAATGTTACGCAGCCAAGTGTTATCTCTATGGAAAAAGTTCGTTTATCTTTTTATTCCTTAATTTCAACTTACAGAGAATGATTTGCTATTTGATAATACATTTAGGAATGATAATAACCTTGTCAATTTTATCATATAATTTATTTGTTTAAAATTATTTGAGGTTCGATTTAGTGGAATATTTGTCAAGAATATATTTTATTAATTTGAAATTTACTTATTTACTTTCAATTGTTAACTAGCATTAATTAAAATAATTTTAGTTTTTAGAATAATTTTAGGTGGAAGAAAATGAATCCAACAGAAAAGTAGACGAAAAAGTGAAATCAAATGAAACAGTGAATAATTTGCAGTTGCGAACATTTGAAAATACTACTGTAACAGAGGGAGAAAAATTGAAGGAAATTTTATCAACGCAAAATTCACAAAATGAGAATTTGTTAAGAATTGAACCGGAGAAACCATTGCTACAAATGTCAAATATAGTGCAAAAAGATGATAGCCAAATATTAGCATCGTCATCGTCAAGTCATGCTTCATCACCAGTTCAAACATCACCAAAAATAGCAACAACAGCAACAGCAACAACAACTATAACAACAATAACAAAAACAAAACCTTTAATAAAATCTCCCAAAATAGGATCTCCGGCAACAAAATCTCCCATTATAACAATGAAAACTTCGCCAACAAAGTCTGCAATAGCGAGAAAAGGTGAAAGTGTATCAAAGATTAGCATGAAATCAGCTAAAGTTATTACTGGTGCCGTAACTACTATTCCGTCGACATTTACTGGTGATGATGAAGATGATTACTTTCATGGGTTCGTGTTTTTTTTTTTACTTTTCACTTCTCATTTGATATTTTAAAAAATCTTAAATAGAAAAAGAAAATTAGTATTTATGAACCATTATATGTCATCATGTGTTACCTAATTACAAGTATAGTCATTCACACATACGCTACCAAGTCTTTTTTTTTTTTTGTTACAGCTTACTTTTGTGTTTCATTTAAAGTAAATTTAAAGTATTAGATTTCTGCCACGTGAAGATGCAAATATGCTTTGCATACTTGATGGTGATTTTTTGCTACGAACTACCGAAGTTTTTTCTGGTGAAGATCGAAAGGTAAATGAAATGTTTCATAATTATAACATTAACATTATGAAAATATTTCATTTCCCTAGAACTTATGCTAAAATTGAAAACATGAAATTCTTTGGTTACTTTATAAACACGAAATGAATTAATTGTAATATATTTTAATTGTCAAATGAGTTTTGGATTAAGTTTATCGAATGATGTAAATTAGAGATAGGAATAAAAGTGGGTGAGGTTATCGCCAGTTAATTAAGCATGTGACAGTATTTAGCAGTAATCTCTAGAAGAAAAAATACTGAGAAGAATGTCTAACAAGTTTTGTATTTGTTCTCTTAGGAATGATTTAAATTTGAATTCTGATAACTACTTATTTAATTTAAATTCTATCATTTTTCTTCATCTTCTCAATCCATCCATTCCTAATGCTTAAATAATTCCTAAAGCTTATTTAATTTTTATGAATTTGTTTTTCTTTTTTTATCTTTTATCCAATCATCTTAGAGATCATATAGTAAAAAAAAAAAAAAAAAGAACATATAGTAAAAGTTGGTCACAATCCATTTATCTCAAGTAATGATCTGAAAGACATGAAGATATTTGAATAACTTAATCAAATTACATTGTATTAATCACATCATATTATATTTTGATTAATTACTTTGTGTTATTATGGAATATATCACGTTAACACGGTATTTATCACATTATCAGAAATCTATCCAATTTTTTATCCATTTCTGATGCCTAACATAAATAATTTTCAAGGTTTTTTAAAAGTCATTAAATTATCATAAAGTAATCAATCAAAAGCCTCAAGCACAAAGAGAAACAGTTATCAGATTAATGTGGGGAAATATTTCGTGAATCATACAATCGTTTCAGTTGCAAATGTTCTTGTTTCTGATCAATTATTCCTACTTTTCTTCTTTTTTTCTATTTTTTTTCCATTTATAAATCTCTTTAAAGATCTTCGTTTTTTTTTTTTTTCTTTTTTTCTTAGCATAAAATTATATTATGCTATCAATTAAAGCTATCATTTATTTAAGCTATGTTTATCAGTTGCATGGCACGGCAAGCATCATATCATTTTGCATTACGACAAATTGAAAAATCGATATGGAATAAAACCTAGTCGTACATTTCCCACAATTACCGATTTGGTTAATTATTATGCTCAACATAGATTTAAAATACTAAAAGAACGTGTATTACTAAAAAATCCAATTGTCACGCAAGTATATATTTTAATTAATTATTGTCATCACGGATACTATTTTAATTCTTTGTTGTAGGAAATTTCATTTTTATTTTATTCATCTATTCATTGTATTGATAGTTAACATTTTATTCTCATTAAGAAGATATTATTATATGATAACAAATTCACTTCTTATATATTTACTCCCAATAGTAAGATTGTATGACAGTGTTTTCTTAGCATAATAAAACATTAATTTCTTGCCATCATCATATTCATTTTACATTTTTAGTAATTAAAAAAAAATTATCGCATACTAATATAATTCTTCATATACGTGTAAATTTTATACCTTAAGCGTAAGAAATATTTTTTTTTTTTTTTTTTTTTTTTGTTCTTTTTTATTTAGTCATGGGAATTGAAACATCAACAGTTGCAACTTCTTCAAAAACTTGGCGAAGGCGCATTTGGTGAAGTACATTCAGCTAATCTTGCACTTACTCCTCGATTTCATGTTAAAGCTGCTGTTAAAGTTGTAAGCAATAAAATGAATGCTTTTTTACATAAATTTAAGTTTTCTTTTTTCTTTAAAGTTTGAATTACGTAATAATTTAAATAATATCTTGAATAAATGCAAAATTAATCAATACTTGTCGAGAAACTTCCGGTTTTTTTCCTCACCTATATAATTAGGCTTATCTTTTTCTTATTTTATCAAACGAAGTATTTCTCATATTTTTCATATCTCTTACATTCAATTAAGCATAAGCAAATAAATATGTTTCCGTTTTTTCTTTTGTAAGCTTAAATGTGATGCAATGACAAAAGAAAAAGTACGTGAAGCGATGTGTGAAGTTCGAATGTTACGAAATTTACGACATGAAAATATTGTTCGGTTTTATGGGGTTGCTAATAGAAAGGAACCTTTAATGATTGTGATGGAACTTGTCAAGGTAATTTTTTTTTTTATATTTAATTAGTAATCTTCTTTTTGATATCAAAATTAAAATCCACATCCAGTTTACATCAAGTTTGTTTCTCCTTTTTTTTTTTTTTTTTTTTGTTTTTTGCTTTGAATTTCAAAAAGTTGCATAATTTTACCAAGCGACAACATTTTTTTTTTTTTTTTTTTTTTTGTTTGAGTTAAAACAATTTGAATTTCATAGATTTTTCTTCCAAAATTTCAGGAAGGTGCATTGGATGTATTTCTTAGGAAGAATGGTAATAATCTTTCAATGAAAAATAAACTATTAATGATTCGTGATGCTGCATTTGGCTTAGCCTACTTACATAGCCAAAATATTATGCATAGGTTTATATTCTATTTTTATTATTCCTTTATTAATATTCGAAGGAATTTATTAATTTTAATGTTTTAATTTATGGAATAAATTTACATAATGTAATGATGATATCTTTATATTATATATATGTGAGTTGAGTTTCAGTCACCAAAAAAAAAAAATTCAGTCACCAAAAAAAAAAAAATAGAAAAAATGAAGTTTAAAATTTTATAATTAAATTACTTTTAATACATAGTTTCCTTGATTGTAATAAATATATCATTTATTACAATACAAAAGTTCAATAATTAAAGTGAAATTGCATGAGACTTAAATGAGTAATTTGGAGAAAAATGACCTAATCTTTGCACCGCAAACTGGTATCATTTTATCATTTTACGATAATAAAATTTAGACAGTTAAAATGGGTGAGATTCTGATCATTTAAAATTTTATTTTAGGGATTTGGCAACTCGTAATTGTTTGTATACAGGCGAAATAGTTAAATTGAGTGATTTTGGTATGTCCACTTATGGACCTCAATATAAATTGCAACCCACTGATAAAGCACCTGTTCGATGGATTGCACCTGAGGTAATTTTCGTTATTAATAATTTTTTATTTTGAACTTTTTGAAATTGTAAACTTTGTCATTTAGTCTATGCTTCAAAAAAAAAAAAAAAAAAATCGTAATTGGTGCGCTAATCTAAAATTGATTATTGATTTTTTCGTTTCTTGATTTTAGCAATTGTCGAGTATTAATTAAAAACTTTAAATAATTGCGTAAATTATGAAGGTATTTCGGACGCTAATTTATTCCTTTCCTTCTGATACGTGGGCCTTTTTTGTTATGGTTTGGGAAATTTTCAATGATGCTACAGAACCTTATGCAGGCTGGGATCGAGCACGTGTTAAAGCTGAAGTATGAATTAATTCAGATTTCTTCCATGACAATTTAAATGAATGGAAAAATATCTCTCACAAATGACATAATATTTAAATTCATTAACTAACTTTTAAAGATTTCAAATGACATTTTTGATAATTAAAACTTTCTTTCTTTTTTTTTTTTTTTTTTTTTTTCATACACAAAATGATATATTTTAATAGAAAAACGGAAAACAGACTCATAAATTCTTAGTTTCCTTTAAAATTCATTAATAGGTTCTGAAAGGTAGTCGATTATCGATACCTCCTACAGTACCAAATATACTTCAAGAACTTTGTAAGAAAGCTTGGAATGCTGATGTCAGCAAACGGCCAACAATGCATACCGTAGCATCCGTATTGATGAAATTGACCACAAAGTAAGTGGAACATTCTATTATTTTACTCTTCCTATTTGTCATTTTCATATTACTTATGATATAATGATTTCTTGATTAGAAATATTTAAGAGAATGGATATGAATTTTGCTTTTATTTCTCTCTTTGTTTCAGAAATGATATTAGTGAAAAGCAAGCTAATATTATTGCTAGCACACCAAAACAAACGGGTAGAAATATGCAAATGAATCATTATAAATCAAAATCGTCGACATCTTCTGCTAATAAATCATCGCTAAAATTGAAAAAAAGGTAAGTATATTAGGAAATATTTGAACGAATGAAATCTTACACAGTAATTAATTGATATGTAATTCATAGTTTTAGAAATATTTTATGTTACTATTATGTTTTGTGTGACGGAAGAAATATGCATATGCATGCTGTATTTTGAATAATTAATCAAATCCAATGAATTAAAGTATTTCTCAAATTTAAGATGGACTTTTATATATTTCTATCTATGAGAAGCAAACTGCTCAAACTGTTTACATCAACACGTCTTTTTTTTTTTTCAAATTACAGCTCAAAGAGAAGCTCCAAGAGAAGAGCGAAGAAATCACGTCGATAGATGACCTTCTTTAACATCTGTGAGATATGTATGATTTTTAGCTTATGTATGATGATAATCACAATTAACCTTTGATGACGATAGTATAAACTTATACTTTCTTCCAGTTTCTTCCTTCTTACTTTAGGGAAACATGACTAATACAATTAGTACATAGTAATTTATACATAATGTTCATTTATTAACTCAATTTATAAGTGTGTAAGATTAATTCAACCATCATTTTTAAAGAGTTTTTTCTTTGTAAACTACAACGATAGGACATTTATAGTCGCATATTTTATTAAACAACATAATTAATGTAATAGCAATAAGAGATAGTGCATCAATTTTTATCTCCCAAAACAAGAAAATGACATTTAATTATGTCATTGCTATTTATTTGAAATCAATCTAACGATCGTGAAAATAACGATCAGCAATACTATCCTCTAGCAAAATTTTTGGACGCTCTCGTGCAAATTTACCATTCAAACCGATCCTTGGTGATTTAATTCCATGTCGTACATTGTAAGGCTGCAACAAACAATTTAAAGTATATTTTCTACTAAATTAAATTTGATATTTCTTCAAAACAAATTGATTAGAAAAATTATAACCTCATAAGGATCATCGATATAGTATTTCGGTCGTAACCAAAATGGTGTCATCATACGATCTAGCATCCAGCATTCCTCTTTTGTACATGTCTCATAATAGTAACTTGTCTAAAATTAACACAAATATTTACATAATTTACTGTACACGTATCGAAAGAAGAATAGAGCAGTCAGGAATTAGGATTATTTTCATACTACTTCTATAATAATCGACATTATTTTTAAAACTTTCCCAAGTAAGCGAAAGAATTATTTCCAATATTAAAAATTTCATTTAAATTCATTCAAACTTGAAGCTACATTGTCAATAAATTGAAGCTATATTCAGTGTACTTCTTCAATCATATAGGAAACAAAAAGTTGTGTCTTGTAACTTGCGGTTTTTAATTGGTAAATTTCGGTTTGTTATCAAAAAAGTAAAAACTTAAGAAATCAACCTTTAAAAAGGTTTCATCTTTTTTATACCGTTTCACATTCCTTCCCATTTGTGCACGTATCCACATGCCGTTATTAAGCCGTTTGAAACGATCCAGTACATCCTGACACGGTCTTTTGCGCCCTTCTTTTGGATCAAACCTAGAATTACGATGAGACCAAATACAAAAAAAAGCTCTGTTATCATATAAAAAAGCATGAAATTTTAAACGTTTCTATATGGAGAAATATAAATAATGCAAATGCTATTCCTATAGGAATTATCAAAAATAACCCGTGGTCTACATAATAATCGTTTCAAATTGAGATGAGATTCACTGATGAGAAAATAAGATTTTCATATTTCATCTGATTGCTCAATCCTAATAGTACAGATAAGCACCTGATATGATATTCCCAATGCGGTATCCTTGCAATACCACGTTTCGTAATCTCGAAACCATTTTTAACCGCCAATGGCACCACTTTACATCCATTCAACAATATTGTCATAGTAGAACAAAACCTTGAAAAAACACTTCCGCTACTTCACGTTTCAATAACACGTCACCATATCTGAAAAGTTTTTTTCTTTCAACAAACTCATATGTTTTTCGGGATAAAAACATTGAATGAATAAAAAAAAAATTTTTCCCCACCGTTTATAATACAATCTTTTATAAACTTAAACCTACACATACAATCTTCACTTCTGCACTTCTTTAAATTCTTATTTTTTAGATTATTTGGAAATATTGTTTATACAGTAGTGACAAGCACCAACAGATAGCTTCAACCACTTCACGTGTTATGCTTCCGGAAAATTAGAAATTGTGCTTTAAATTGCTATTATTTCCACAACTTACTCCATTCATATAATTAAATCATTTTTCATATTATTTGAATAAATAATGCTGCTAAATTATGCTGATACGTTCAACATGAAAGTTCAGAATCAGCAATATAATGATTTTATCAGCCGAAATTGACATTTTCTTTATCACAATAACATCATTTACTCAATTGGACATTAACACATATACATAACAAAGAATATGCGCATACATACACCTACAAATCACTTTAGACTATACATTACATTTGAACAAGCTGGCTCACTAGTACCAAGACGAGAAAATATTCCTGATTACTTAAAAATCCACCGAGGAATCTATGTCTGATTTCATTTGCTTAGCAATATTTCATGACTATTTTGTGAATTCAAATGTCTGTTTTCATTAATATATGCATGATATGTATCGAAACGATGGAACAAATAAGTTGAAACGCATTAAAATAGATCAAATTCAACACAAGTAAATGTCATCCTCTTCGGCAATTATAAGTATTCTAACATACACCCACAAACACTTGAACAATATATCGAAAATCTGCGGAAATTGAATAAATTTCCTTGAAAATTTTATTTGCAACATGAATCACTGTTAAAAGAATACATATGAATGTAAAACTAATTGAACTTAGTAAAACTAAATGAAAGCTGCCTTACAATTTCTGCTACTTTTCAGCGTAACCTACGACATCTCCCTTGCACTGAAAAGAGCTTTCATTACTTAATTCAAATTACTTAATGTCGGAAATTTTAAAAGTACTCAGATTAATTAATTACAGAAAACAAATCAATATTACGCCTTTGAACGTGAAAGATCTTACAGATATATAATGAAAAATATAAAATGCACTGGAATATGAATAAATTTATGGTCTAATGATTAAATGGTCAAAATGACTAATTCATATTTCCAGAAAGTAATTCCTGCTCTTTAGAAATTACTTTCAACTTCATCTTTCATCGATTTCGAACTCGTTTAATTATATCCATCATTCATCAAGACTATAACACAAACCTAGAAATGTCAATGCCTAATACCTCCAAGGACAAAATTACTTGATACAGTTACGTACAACAATATTAAAGTAATTGAAACGTTTTCAGAAAGTGCATATATTCTGCAAATGGTGCAAAGGATAGGAACAGAGATATAAAATGGACCTAAGTAGATGGAATACTTAACAATTTCAACTACCCGCATGATATACAAAAATTGTAAAAACGTTTGAGTAAAGGTTATCCAAACGTGGCAAGACATAAAAAAAGACTTAAGAACGTTGTACTGTCAATGTGTGCTTTATTCTTTTGTTTAGTTAATAAGAATGATGTTATAATGATTTTAATAAAATCATAATACAAGTGATAATATTTAAAAACATACGAACAATGTAGCTGTTCATATTATTTCATCAAACATTTCTAATGTCAAGAAAGAAAAGAAATATGATAACCAAAAAGAAGAAATAGAGAATCGCAACAAATGACTAGTAACTTGATGAACTATGGCCGCTATCTCGCTCTACATCATCATTTCCAGTTCTACGAATAACATTCAAATCATTATGCAATATAGTTTCCGTACGCTGAGCACATTCATCAATTTCCTGAAAAATAAATAACTTAATCTACTGAATAACTGATTAATATAACCTAAAAAAGATAATAACTTCCACTTTTTTTTTTTTTTTTTGCATGTACGTCGTTATGTATGATGGACTACCTGGAACGTCTGAAATGTTATTTAATATAAACGAATTATAAATCGTCCTTTTCTTTCTTTCTTCTTTTAACAAACATTAACCAATATTACTGACAATAATATGGAAATAAAAAATTTATTACGCTAACATATTCTTCTACTTTGCTGTTGCTATCATCAAATAAACAAAGTTTATAAGGCATATTAAGTTTACCACCTTATTTCATTGTACTTTTCACTTTAAAAAAGAAAATTAAGTCGAAAATATATGCTAACGATGAACAGAAATGAAACAGAATAGTTCTAAACTAAATTAAAAGAACACTCATAATTTATATCATAGTTCTAATCTACAACTATTGCTTTTTCTTTTTTATTATAGCGAAGTGATATGTAGCACAAATTTACTTCAATCATTTGAGAATGACTTCGAAGCATTCCTGATAAATCATCTGTGTTCATCGTTACTCCCGTATGATTGCTTTCCACTGAACTATCACTATCACTGCCATCAGGTAAAGAAATTGTTCCTGTTGTAGCTGCGCCCACGGGCAATTCAGTGCGATATCGAAAATCAGTCAAATCTGCTGATAACCTAAATATTTACTATTAATGATATCTTCTGTACAGTATGCTTACTAATTTTGAAAAAATATTCACGACGATAGAGAAAGAGAAAGAGAGATAAAATATTGCCTAAAATGATCTATTCTTAAACAGTACATAAAAACAGTACTTATTGTTCTAATGAACTGTATATTAATTAAAATGTAGTTTTACCTAACGCTTTTATTTTGTTTCAATTTGCCCTGACTAAGAATCAACTGTTGCGCAAGTAATATAACACCAGAACCGAGAGTTCCATCTTTACCTGCACCTGAATCAGTCGCTTCAGGTGAATCATCAAACAGAGCAGGATCGATTGCTTTATCGCAATCCAAAGAAAGCTAAAAAGTGATAAAAAATGTTACCAGATAAAAAACGTTATTTCACATTATAATAAGTCACAAATATATTTATATGTTTACAATAACAATCGGATAATTCGGAAAAGACACCATTTTTAAAATAAAAAGTTACATCACTTTAAGTAATATTTCCCAGGAGGTAAGCATAATCAATTTTTACACAGAAAAAATTATAATCCATTATTTCTTCACCGGAAAAAAATTACTAAACAAAAAAGCACACCTGATCAAAAGTTACTTTAATCCCTTCGAGAGCAATAGTATTTGCTATATCTGCTTTACGTCTCCTTTCCTCTTCCTCTTCAACTCGACGTTGCGCTTTCTCTTTACTGAATGCTACCTCATAGGACGGTAAGTCAGGTGAATCACAACCAACACCAGGTTCACGTCTCACACTTGATAACTATAAAATATGAAAATAATACAGTGCAGAACAAAACATATTTTTCAATTGCTACCATATACTATCTGTTATCAAACATTACGGAAAGAATGAGAACGTAGTTTGATAAAAAAAAATTTGGCAAGCACATGATTATTATTGCTATTGAATTACTCGAATATGTGAATTAATAGCCATCATTATTGTAAAATGATTTTTATTTTAGAGCAATAAACTGCTCTAATTATTAGTAGTAGTTTATTACTAAAAGATTTCGACCAATAAAACACGAATAAAATATTGCACTGAGTACATTTACATTTACCTATTATCAAATATATTGCAAAGATATAGCTAATTTGAAAAAAATCATACACTTCTCTCTTCATGTATAGCATCTGATATTTGCTCCAAATTCCTCAACGACGATGTATAATCATACTTTTTCTGACGGACCTTTAAAAATCATCAGCATTATTGAAAATAATTAAAAACATTGCAGTATCCAAAAATACTTTGCAGATAAAAATCAGGAATAAAAAAACTGTCATAATAACCTCAGATTCAAGCTTCAGAATTAAACTTTTCTGATGCTCCAAAATTCTTGTAAATTCGATGCGTTGCTCAAAATAATGTCGACTTTTCTTAATAGATCGAGCATTTGCCTCTAGCATCTGTGCAATTTCTTTTGATAACTGCGTCATACGCTCCGATATTGAACGATGTAGCTCTTCAGCCGCTATACGTTCTTGCTCCGCTTCATTTACACGTTGAATATGATGGTTCAAAACCTGTAAAATAATAAATTAACTAATTCCACCCTTACATGACATTTTATAGGTTTCTTAAGATTTTCAGGAAAAAATTATGAAACAAACTGCTCTAATTATAACGCTGATATATACTTTCAATTAATTTCCTCAGATTAAATATTATAAAATGACTTAACAATTGTGGTGGCAGCAAAATCATGTCATAAAGACACACCTATGACGCTAATTCCAAAATAAAAACGAATATTAATAAATTAGAATAAATAAATGTGGTATTAGCAGTAGAATACAGGTAAACAATCTTAACCTCTAAACATTCTGGTTCGATACTTCGTTGTCGATTTAAACTATCTTGGGTCAATTTCACTTGTTGCTTTGCTACTGCATGCATTGAATTGGCACGCTCGAAACGTATCGCGGCATTTTGCGCTTCTTCACGCAACCGTCTCTCCTTAAAGAAAAAAAAAATATTCTATGAATAAAAATGGTACAAAAATTATTTCATTTTTTTCCTTAAAATTCTAATGAGAAACCTGAAGATGACTATATGATTAGTAAAATTGCTGATTTTTAGTAATAACCGCTGATTGATCTATTCGGATTTCCACAAAAGGCAATCATTAATGTGGATAAAAAGGAATTAGCATATATCATACCATGTTAAAATACATACTAAAATAGATCTAACATCATTGATCTAAATAAGATTGCTAATATTGCTAATTGAATTGATAATAATCATTCTACTTAATATCCAAATCATTATGTTTTTGAACAAATATATACAATCAAATAAAAGACTTTTTTCAGGATCACGAAATTCCGCCATTTCCCAACAATTAATTGACTATGATGAAATCAAATACTTTCATTACTAAAATTAGTGAATGATTAGAAATTTATTCTAATGCAACTGCTACATCAGCTGGTAAATCATAAATTCCAAGACAAAAATATCATTAACATATCTCACATATTTTTATAATTGAGAAATAGAATTCTAAAGTTAGCGCATTCTAAAGTTAAAATTTTAAAGCATAGCTTCTTTGCTCATTGTTTTATGTAACTAAGATTAATAATACTGCATTAAAATGCTACATTCATAGGAAAAGGAAATTCTCAGACGTACATTAGCATGAATATGAAATATTTCATAGTTTTTTAACACCACACTACCTTTCATTCAATATAAAAATTATAAATGACAAAAAGTTTTATTAGATTCACCTTAAGCTTTGCTTCATAATAAGGACGACCTTTCGCAATAGCTGAACCATATTTACGACTTAATTCATTCAATTTTTCAGACCAGGAAGTTTGAATTTTCCTGAAAGCAAAAATAATCCTAAAACTCAGACTGAAATATATATTTTTAAATGCATCAAATATAACCAAATCTTTTAACATGAATATTACTAATCAAATAATTATTGTGAAAAATTTAATTTGAACTTTCCATTTTTCTGCCTAAAATTTCATAAAATATCAGTGGGACACCATGATATGACACAGTGCAAAAGTATGAAAACTCCAAAAGCAGTACAAGAACATGTGAATTCGAATATACCTGAAGGTAGCTCTTGCTTCATCAAGTTGTAATTCCAATTTATTGATTACATCAGTCGCAATATTCAATTTTTCTAATTCCTCATGAACACGATTTAAATGTTTAGCATCAAGCCGAAAATCTTCATCCAATATATAATCTGCCTCGTCTATAAATATATAAATCTATCCTACAATTATTTCTGAAAAATAAACACTTATTGATATCATGTCATCACATGATTTGCAATATATTTACAATTTATATCATAACTGTATTCATAAATCCTGATATTATACCATTATTCAAACTGCATTCAATATTCATTATATTAATCATTACTTTATATCATGTTTATAAGTTATAATGTCATTCTACAACGATTGTTTTTATTACAAAATGAAAAAGAAAAAAAAAAGCAAAATTTAAAGAATAGTGATGAAAATAAAAATCCAACAGTTCGATGAAAATTAAATATCAATCATTACCAGCTGTAGATGGCTCTTTTGACGTTGATGGCCCATTTGTATCATTGTGTAAAATCACATCACTCGCATTCATCCGGATAGTTTCTTCAATTTTTTTTTTTCTTTTTTTTGTAAAAAAAATTCAGAACAGAACTGTACACGTTGTTAGAAACATAGTAATAAATTAATTATTGCCAATTTATTTTTGCTGCTGAAAAAGGAAAATATCAATATCTTATGTTTCAAAATTCTCTAAAATTTATAAAATGAAACGAATGGAACATAACCTATTTCTCATTAATGTTTACAATAACAATAAAATAAGTAAATAAAACATATATATTGCGTATGAAATAAATCATGCATATTTCAGAGAGCTAAAAAAATCATAGATGGGGTAGTTTCAGTTCTAAAATTTCACGTTTTTTTTTTCGTAAATTTAATAGACAGTTTTATGATTTTAACACAAAATATTTACATAAAGTCCATACGGATATGTTCTAATTGAGAAAAAAAAAAAGGAGGTTAAGATAAAGAAGTATCGCCATGATTCACATATAATACACTAAGTTTAATATTAATGAAATTCTAATTTAAATATAAATGATAGAATAAATGAGATGTAAAAATTAATGGGAAATAAATATACGAAAAGATGAATATTTGTGAAAAATTTTTGAAAAGATATTTTCTACGAAAAGAAGCATGAAAGAATAGTTCAAGAGAAAAAGAACAGAAGGCGAAAAAAGTAAGAATTCTGAAAGGAAATAACATAACAGACATTAAGGAATGTGATGAATACATTAGCACAAAAAAGAAGCAAATAATTGAACAAATATAAGCAAACAAAATGAAAATAATCTTTGATGCATTAAATGATGCGAGAAAAGAGGATAGAATATGAATAAAAAGTTACAGATAATGCAAAGGTATGGATATGAATATAAATATTATGAATATAGGCATAAAAGATATGAGTTATGAATAGTGAATTAATATGGATAATGTAATACATAAATATAGTGTAAGTAAACATGTAGACATAAAAAGAGGTAATTAATTAGTTATAAGCAATATATGATTGATTAATATGTGTAAAATTAATGATCAAAAATAGAAATTTTTGAAAATAATTCGACCAATATCATATAATTAAATCGTAATGCATCGTTGCAACAGACGCGCTATAATCAGTTATATTTTCATGTCTTATCTTCTTTTATCATTCCATTCAATAGATATAGCCTGAGGTGAAGTTCAGAGGAAAAGGAACAAGATTTGTTGGCACAACGATTATTATCAGTAATGAAGGCAATATCATACAAAATCTCTTTCTCAATCATTCCGATATTTCTCTTACTCAGAGAATTCAACATTCATTACATTATCCATCTTCCTCAACATAGCAGCAAAACAATATGATAAACTTTAAAATAATACAAAATCTTTTCTGCTTAATAAATATACCAATAAGGTATGCAGTAGAGTATACATACGCCAATGACTATTAATCAATTATGTAATACAGTATAGGTATGTCGTATTATATAGTTAATATTGACATACTTATGCCGATGGTTGTCAATCATAATTGTATGGTACAATATACATATACCGACATTTGTTAATCAACTACTACAAGAACCTCAACCATATAGTACGGTACGCATATGCTGATGGTCAGCAATCGGTTACTGTAAGAACCACAACTGATACAATACACATATTGATGGTTGTTTAATCAGCTATTACACGAATCACAATTGTACAATACAGTACAGTGATGGTTGCTGATAAAACTAATACACAGTCACAGTTCTCAAAAGAATCTCATAAAATCTTCGATCGAAAAAGTCTCTGAGAAAACAGAGAAAAAAGATGCAAGCAGAATTCATTACCGGTTTAAATGTAGTAAAATTTATTTATTTAACAGAAAAGGAAAAAAAAAAAAACTCTCCACTCCTGCCTTTGAAAACATCGGCAAACAATTTGTTGAAAATTTTTTTAAAACAAGATATATTTTAAAATTTAACTACCCAACCCAACTAATAAGGAAAATGAATGTATTACATCAAAATCAAAAAAAAAAAAAAAAAAAAAAAATCAAATTTTCAAGAAAGATTGCACATTTTAATGAGTATTGCTTGAAAAAGTGGAGGGAAAGAGTATAAATATAAAATATAGTTAAAGTATATCGGTGGAAAGGCTTAAAGTCAATCTTGATCGTTATTTGATTATTTCCTCATTCATTCATTTTATCAAATAGGAGTAAAACAATAATTAAGAAAAGAGGAAAGAAAGTAATTTAATATGAATATGAAATGAAGCTTAGCTTAGATGTGTCATCTTGTTATCATTTATGATAAAAAGGATATCCGTGATGACAAGATTAAATTCCTTTTTGTGCAAAATATCTTTTAGATCCTAAGGGAAATGCAAATGAAACATGTTTGCCCAAAATTATAAAACCAGTGGTGGATTGCGCAATGTGTTTAGTTCATAAATAGAACATTATTTATCTTTGGATCATGTTTACTTCCTAAAAAGATCATTTCAAAAATTTGAGAGAAAATGCTTGGCCTTAGCTATTACAATTTCATATAATATATAATTTTCTTGTAAACAATTACGTATTTCCCTTACCTCAAAGAATCCATTAAAAATCAAAAATAAAATTATCAGTCATACTCTTAATCAAACAATGATGCTACTTTGGATATGGAATTTTATGCTATGTTAGAATGATAGGAAAAATGATAAATTAAAAACAGTTGACCAGCTTTTAATTACTCTTTTAGATATCAAGTGCAAATTTTTAATTAAAAAAACTTTCGATTTAGTTTTTCGAATACGGAAACGAATAAAACTTTTAGCTGTGATATTGCCTTGGAAAAACAATTTGAAACATATGTTAAGGTCACGCAGATTACACATGACTTATGCAGGAGACTTAGATAATAACTGAATGGATTTGAATAATTTGAATATTTATCAAAAAAAAAAAAGATTTGAAATAATTGCCATTTCAATTATATATTCACGAGTTTCAAGATGGATTTTCATTAGAATCAAATTTGCATTTGATATCAGATGGTATCAGGTTATTAGACGATATTTTAGCAGAGTCACATTGTCTCTGATAGCAATAGCCTTATATATAAATAAAAACAATTTTACCAATGTTTGCTTATCAGACATAGACGATGTAAAAATGTTTATAAACAAATCATCCGCTGAATTTAACAGCTTTTAAATCATATAATTTCCAAGCGATAAGGATGGAAATTTTTTACGAACAAATAATTATTCGATTTTTAATTCATCAAACATTCCGTCAAATTTGATGGAAACACTTCAATCATACAATTTCCAAAGATACGGATAAAATTCCTCTCATTCTCTCCATAATTTCCCATTCTATTTATTGCTAATTGATAAGCAGCAAATTGATGTTATTATACCACTTGAAATGAAATAAATTAACATTTAAATGAAAAACATATCGTTGCTGTAATAGAAGTGATTTTAAAAGCAAGCAGGTGTATTAACAACTGTTTATCATGAAAATCCCACAAATATTTTCCTATCTTTTTCTTCTCTCTAAAAAGGAAAAAAAAGAGGAAAAAAAAAGGAAAGTAACTTATTTAAGACTATGCGATATCATAACTTCAGAGTTGAAATTCTATAAGAAATATGTAAATTAAGGAAGTTTTTAAACAAAAATGAACAAATGTATTTTTAAATTCCATTTTAAATATCAATAAATGAGTGAATAACTTTGTATATAAGTAAAATAACAATTGGTATGAATGACTTTTCAACGTAAACATTAGGTGATGGAGTTAAGTAAAGTGAAGCAGTCGATTTGTTTATGAAATTGTTAGCAAAGATTTAAAAGTGATGCAAGTATTATAAGAGAAAATTTCTTCGTCAAATGATGGACATAGTCTGATAACGGAGAGGAACAAAAAAATTAAATGATCTCTGAAATTTCAAAACATACTCATTTATAATTTCAAAACCCTTACTGATATGCTTCCTATTTCTTCATCTGCACAAGAAAAGTCATAGATTATGCTAGCTTTTATTTTTCTTTTTTGGATAAACTTCAAAGCTTTTTCCAGTATATTCAAATTTCAAACCTCTTTTTATAGTGGGAAGAGCTACAAAAATTCGGAATATTTCGCATAATTTTAAAACCAATTATTTGAATAAGAAAGGATCTTTTTATTATCAAAAAAATAAATTAATTAAAAATAAAATAGAATTTGAAAATCAGCTTCGCAGTGTATAATTACAACTTATGCCAATAAAAATTTTAATTTCAACTTTGCTTCTAAAAACCAAACTTTTACATCTTCATAAATACATTAATGATGAGGTTAATTGAGTTCATTGTTTCGAAGGTATAAAACTGATGATGTCAAGGAGATGATTTTAAAATTGATGATGTCAAGAAGATGATCAATCTACGATATCAGCGTGATAAATGAATATTAAAATGAAATTAATTCTGTTTTCAATTAAAATTTCCATCTCACTCATCTAAAAAGGAAATCCTAATTAAAGATGGGAGTAATTCTATATTTTTGTAATTATAGCGATTTTTAATTTGCCGGAATGATTTTCGACCTATCTATCAATATATTGTATTAGAGACCAAGAGTGCCCAGATGTTATTACTGGCGAAAATAAAAACATAAAAGAGATAAAGTCGCAAATTAGTTCCCATGAAACATTTTTCTATGTAGAATTTTCTTGATTATTCAGGAAAAAAACCGAAGAAGTCTTGAACGCATTTATAGTGGAGTGTTTTCTGATTAAATGGTAATAATATTTTACTTAAATGATGGAAGGAATTAATTATAATAATGTGGCTAATTTAAAGAGTTTGCACTGCGACATTTACTAAAGATAAGTGAAAGAAAACAGAAATATCGATGATTAAAGAATAATCATCATAGATAAATAATGATAAAAGATCTGAGTGAAAAGATTACCCGAAGCATTTTAAATGACTTCATCAATTGATAATGCTTTCATTGTATTTTCATATCATCGATATATTTATATTTGTGTTACTGGTGACAGATA